GACAAGCAAAGTAAACATTGGACCACAGTATAGTGTGCCATCCTTGGGACTGCGACACTTTACAATAGCCTGCATGTCAGGCAAGTACCAACAGCCGGTACTTAGTATTCAAACTCTCAACCTCTCGGTCCAGAGGCAGGCTCACTAACTACGCAATAACAGTAACGCTATAAAAGGGAGGCCCATTACATTCTAATCTGTAGATGTATAAACATCTACTACCATAATCCCACCAGGTCACATATATGCACCACCCTAAAAAAATTCCATCCTAAGAGATCTCCAATGCAACGTTCAATGGTTTAATGCTTGATATCTAAACTGTGCATACCTGGGGGTGCTGCAATAGAGTTTATCATCATCATCTCTCAAACATAACTTTCTCAAAGTGTACTTTTAACTCGGCAGATAAATGTTAATGGTGGAGGTAATAAGCATCAATACTATCACCCATAAACATCAAAGACAGCATAAAAGTTCACGGCGGTCGGTTGCTAGGCTAAAAGTCGCATTACTAGGGAGGTATCGGGTTACAGAACGTGTTCGAACGTGGCCGCGCGGGAGTCCCAGGCCGGCCCGGGGGCAACGGGTAAAATTTGAAAATAAACAAAAGTAATTGGAGAGTAAATACTCGTCAAAATAAAATGTAATAAGTGATTTTGTTTACCTCAAATGTTATTCTTGCACTGCCTTTCCTCCACTTTGTGTACATTTGCTTTCAAATGAGATCAATTTCGGATTTCAAAAAGGGTTCACGAGAACCAAACAACTGATTTTAAGAGGCCGCGAAAATTAAAAATAAGGTTAGATTTTTGGATTTTTAGAAATATTGCAGTAAATTTAAACTTTCTGTCTTAGGATTTTTTTATTTTTTAACTAAAACTCGACTTACAGTCAAAAGAAGAGCTAAAAACGCAGTGTTTTAACTTTAAATACCGATAATTCATAATCGCGGCCATATTTAAAAAATCCCTAAGACAGAAATCTGCAGAAATCGTTCCTCTTCCAAACAAGCCCTCAATGGGGTAATTTGAGCGATTTTTGGGAATGGTTAAAATACCATGTTTGCACGCATGCTGTGCCACTTGGATATGGGGACCTGGATTTTATAACAGCGTCAACAAGAATTCTGACCTTCAAGGTCACCCACGATGACGGCAGTAGCTTCGTTACATTTTACATATCCACAAAAAAATCACGGCATAGATGTAATGTTTTGAAAATGGTTCATATTTGTGGAAAGGTGGATTTTTCCTGTTCCGTGGTTTCCAAGTAAAAAAGGGCTTGAAGTAGCCGGTTGTAGCGACTTTACTGTAAATGACCGCAGGTAACCCTGGATCGAACGCCCGCTCTATTCGAATGACGTCATATCGAACAAGATTCGCGGGTTCGGGGGATTCGATCTCCATAGTAGCAGAGTGGGACTTTTGGGCCCAAATCTGACCATCGTGAATTTACTTCACGATTATTTTTCCCGCCCAAAAATGACATATAAGAGCTGCATATTATCTGTTTAAACTAATACAAATGCCCGAAATTAGTGAATAGTATTTGGCAGGTAGGATGACTTGCATGCCCTTGTATATTTCTTTATTTACTGATTTCTCACCAAGGACTTGTAAAAGTTACTAAAACTAAAACTAAAACAACCGTGTTGTACGTCGATGAAGGTTAGACATCCAGGTAATACGATATGCCAAAAAAACAGTTACTCAAGCAACTGGATATGATTTGTGTAGTTTGTTATCTGTTGCTCGGGAAAAAAATCAAACTACTCAGAAAGGGAACGCCAACGACTTTGTTCTTTTCGAGCACCGATTCGATCAAAATTCGGGCAAAAGTTTGGTATTCGAATTTTCGAAATTCGTACATTCGAATTTCGAAGCCTTGTTCCTCTTTTCGAAGGTACAGCAGCAAGGACATTATATGGGGATGACCTGATAATATCAATCCTTTCAAGTTTCAAATCTAATCGTCTAAGCAAGGAGGTTTTGCAAAGATTTGATTTTGACTTCCTTGGTCTAAGAGATTTCATCATAGTTTGAAAACATTTTGAATGTTATTTTACTTTTTTAAAAATAAAATTATAGTTTAGGGTTTTACTCATGATGTGGAATGATATACATGTGTATGATTTTCCAATATTGTTCCTAAATAACGGCAACCACATATTATATTATATTCCACTACATGTCCATGAATTAATGGTCTGTGAGCTAGCAAGAAAATTCACCCAATATTGTGTGAAGTACTTTATAATTATTCGGTAGTTTGCCTGGGAGGATGTGTAGATGCTTCACAAGAAGAATCCTCACAAACACGCGCGCCCACCTGCCCCATCCCTGTGAAACATGTTGAAAGACTCAGTCAACAAATCTACTACCATTAAAAATGATTGTATGCGAGTGATTGCTGCTGTTGTTTACATCATATATATATGCCTACCGTGAAGTCATGGCAATTGCTCGTGTGGTATCATTGCATTGAACATATATATAAAAAGTTTGCACAGGTATACTGTATATTTACATGTATGGGGACATTCATATCATCCATATAATCTTGGAAATGTTGGTACGTGCTGCAAGCAATAACATTAACAAATTTTAAAGTTGAATGTATATAACTCACTCACTGACTCACTGTCCGGTTTATCGTCTATATAGTAAAATATTTGTACATTCTGGTAAATTTCAGGAGAAATGCCAAGGCGTAGGAAAGTGCCCAAGACTAAGAGGTTGAGTGCGTGGAAGGCAAAGCAGGAAGTGGAGAGGCTGGCTGATGAGCAGGAAGCCGAGATAACAGACCAGGAGCCAGCTGTTGAGCAGGAGGTAGAGCTCAGAGAGGAGGAGCCGTCTGATGAGCAGGAAGTAGAGGTAACAGGGCAGGGGCCAGCTGTTGAGCAAGAAGTAGAGGTAACAGGGGCCTGGGAGGGTCAGGATGGACAGTTTATGTTTAACCCATTGACAGCAGATGATCAAATGTACCTTGCAGGTCAGTTAAACCTCCCTGTAGCAAAACCCCATAATATGAAGCAAAGGAATGTCCCTCTGGAGCCACCTCGTTCTAGTGATCTTGTCAGAATAGAGAAAGATGGGAACTGCTTCTATAGAGCCATAAGTCACCATATCTGTGGCACCCAAATGTATCATCATGTAGTAAGGCAGCACTTGATTCACTTTATGTCAACATTGTCTGAGGATGTTTACAGGTCTTGGTTCGACGGAGGACTAACTATGGACCAGTACCTGGCTCGTGCGGATTGGGCTCACAATGGGAAACGTCCAGGAGACTTTGGTGCATGGGCCACAGAGGTAGAAATGGATGCAATGGCTTTATTCTTGGGAATACGCATCTTTTTGTACACTAAGTATGGCAACAAGTGGACATGGTGTAAAGTACCCATCAAAACGAGAATATTTATGATAAGACCATGTCAGAAACAAGTAATGCTGTGTACTTACAACATAAAAATGAGGATCACTTTAATGTTGTCACAACAGTTTTGAGCCGTAGGCAGACAAGGAGCATGTCACGGTGCTGCAGACAAGAAGGTACAGAGGCTTCAGAAGCTGCCAGCAGCAAGAGGAAGATCACACTGAATGACAACAATGATGATGACCGGAAAAAGGCCAAACGGGAGAGAGAAAGGAAACGGTACCAAGAAGATGAGACATATGCCCAGGCACAACGGGACAGGAAGAAGACACGGTACCACACTGATGAAGACCATGCCCAGGCTGAGCGTGATAGAAAGAAGGAACGGTACCACGCTGATCAAGACCATGCACAGGACAAGCGAGACAAAACGAAGGAGCGTTACCACACTGATGAAGAGCATGCGCAGGAGAAGCGAGACCGCGAAAAGGATAGATATCATACAGATCCAGAGCAGAGAGATTTGAAGAAAAGAAATGTGCAGATCAACAGAGAAAGAAACCAGAATTTACCAGATGTTAATAAGGCCATTGAAAAGTTCCAGGTGGAATGACAAAAAGGGACCAGAGTATGTTTGCACTGTATGCCATAGGCTTTTGTTCCGTGATCAAGTTGTAATCTGTCACAAAGAAAAGTATGTTCAGGATGTCCACTTCTGTCTTACCGGTAAGTATGTACATGAATGCAATGAAAACTGCAGCCCCCAATGCATGTTCCATAGTAAACACATCCAAGGGGAAAGAGTGGGTATGTCGCTGTTGTCATGAGCACTTGAGGAAGAAAAAGACCATTCCATTTGAGGCCCAGAGTAATAGAATGAAGCTCC